ATTTTTTGTATATAGTTTTCAAAGTTTACAAAGTTAATGGCGTGAGGGTGGGACCAAAGATGGGTGACGAAGCATGATGAGGTAGAAAGAGATCCAACGGCCGAGCGACCGTAATGATTTTTTCACCGCAAAAGTAAAGACTAAAAGAGAGAGAGATGTTTTTCTCTCACGCAACTTAGTCATGTGCTTTCCCACACACCATTTCATGCATCTTCAATTCCTACTCATTTTCACATTTTCTCTTTATTCCCTTGAGACTAGTTTAGATTAACTTTTAAACATCTTTCTTTTCTTTGGTCGAAGTTTCTTATAGATTTCGTATCGAGTTTTATCAAAAGACCCCACTAATTTCAAAAATGATTGGTATAAAATTACTTGCATGCAATTCCACAATGGTAGAACATAAAACTCATGTGATTACATGAGTTTACCGTCGCTGTATACCGAACTACCGTGTTTAACTGTTGTTTACCGTTGACACTGAATTTACAGATGATGTTCATGATCAAATATAATTTATTGGAGTATAATTGGAAACACAAACAATTAATTTTACAAACGATTTCCTAACATTGGTTATCGAAAAAAAAAAAAGATTTCCTAACATATAAAATTTATCCGCTCCACGAAAATTTATGATTTACAATTCTATACACACTGTAGTCATGATGGACATTCTCATACTGGAAATGAACTACAAGACCCAAATCTTAACCATGAGGGCTACCTGAAAAATACAAATGTTTTATATTCTTGTTTGTTTTATATTCTTGTCCTCGTCTGTTTTGTATTCTAAATGGGCACCTGAAAAATCCAAACGATTTCCTAATTGGGCACCTACGTGGTCTTCGTCTGTTTTATATTCTTGTTTTATTTGATGACTTTTTTTTCCCAAATGTTTTTCTTTTGTAGTGAAAAATCTAATCATTTTTCTTTATTTCTATCAAATTATGAAATATCTGTCACGTGCTCGTTGGACACCATTATTGGTGTTTAGACGTTTATATTTTTCTTAATTCCAGCAGAAGACTATATCTACTAACATATGATTATGGATTCCAAAAACATTTACACATACATCCTTTGATGACTCACATTTATAAAAGCATGCTATGGATCGGTTATAAAAATAAATAGAGAGAATAACCACTAGCTAATTACATCAATAACAGCTTTATATTGATGTAATTAGCTAGTGGTTATTCTCTCTATTTTTCTTTTGTTTTTTAGCAAGAAACAAGAGACAATTTTTGTTTTTTTTTGAAGAAATTTAAGTATAAGTCTATAATCTCTTAAAACATGTTACTATTAGTGTTTTTATAATAAATTTCATATATTTATGTAAATTTTTATGCATATTCTTTTTCTGGAAAAATCTTTAATTTATTAAGACTTTAGAAAAAACATTATTTTATTTGATAATTGATAAATGGTAATATAATTTTTCTTAAATGTTCAAAACAAAAAGTTCTCAAACAATTGATGAACACTCAAAATATGCATGAACCTTTTGTGTCATTTGTTGCATTATCACAAATTTTATTTTGTTTATGCTATAATCCTAATTAAATTATACTCATTTTAAAATAAGGGAGTATTTTACCAAAAAATATTAAATATAAGAGAATATTTTAATGACGTATACTTAAATATGTACTTAAGTTTAGTTAAAAAAAAGTCATTTTAACTTTTATTTATGGGTAGAAATTGGAAATTACGTTTGCTTGAGATTTTTTTTTGGGATTCTTCAAAAAAAAATATTTTTAGAAAAATTCTATTAAAATGTGTTTCTCATTTATTAATTTGTGTTATATAAATTATGTTTTTCTGTTATTTGTCATTTTACTTTTCTAATAACCTCAATAACTTTAACAAATTGAGTGAAATTTTGGATTTGACATCTAAAACTTGTATCGAGTACCTTTTGACAAACAATAACTTGTAGTTTCATTTTTGTTACTATGAATGCATGACAAATGCATTCTCATGAATTTGATAATTAATTTTCAACTTTAACTCTTGTTGTTTTGGAACTTTCATATCCAATATAATTAAAAAAAAAAACTGAAGGTCATAAATATTAAGAGACCAATTTTAGATGTTTTATTTTACGCTTACGTCTAAGTGAACACTTTTAATCATGGGCGTCACTCCATATCGAACAAAAGCAACTGGTTCGTCGTAGTATGCTTTGAGTACAAATTTAGACTGGATTATTTGACTGTTACGTATCTCTCATATCGCTTTAGTACGAATATTTTTTATACTTGCATACAATCTTAGAATGCAGAAGTGAAAAAATTCAAAGAGTATTATTTTATACATTCAAACGAAGAAGAACATACTACTCTTTGCATGACCTCCTCTTCCCCACATGCGTGACGTTGACATTGTCGATCCGTCACCTCATCCACTGTGGAGTAAAACGAAACAATGAAAGCAAACCTCATTAGCAATACAATCACATTATTGTTATACCATGATAAAAATTTTGAGTTAATAATTCTGGATTGGAATAATTTTTCAAAAATATTTTATATGCTTTTGTAGCAAAAGTACTAACGAATCATTAAAAAAAATTGAAAAAATCTACCTTGTGCCAAACAGAATAACATGTAAAGCAGTAAGTAAGATCATATATTGCTCGATTGATATGACCCAAAAATGATTATAATCGAAGAGAACAAATCTTAATTAGATGTTAATAATTTCACATATTTCTTTTTTTTTATCTTTAAGTGTCATTTCTTAATAAATTTATGGAATAGGTACTTTATTGCAAATGTTTCATCTACCATTTGACATTCTGACCAGTTACCTTGGTAATTCATAATTTTTGGTTCTTTGTCCTAAAATGGAAAATAATTTCAGATAGATTAGCAAAACAGGGGAAGTTACTTCAGATAGACTCAGACGCTGTGAATTTACTCAAAATTTTGTTTCATCTCTTGTGTTTTCTCCATTCACTACAAGAAAGCATTCTAATTTTGACAATCAATTTGGTTTAAAATGAGTCAAAACAGCTATTTCTGACTAATATTTGACCAAAATTGATTAGTAAAAAATTGATAATCGCAAATGAAATTTGGTTTGAAAATAGTCAAAACGTTTTGACCAATAAAAATAGTCTAAGATTTTGGTTTGACCAACAAAGTGGTCAAAATTTTGATTCTGACCAATAAAATCGTCAAAATTTTTTGATCAATCAAAATGGTCGGAATTATATATTTTGACCAATTTTAGACCATATATTCTAACCAATTTTTGACCAACTTAGATATTTAAATTTTAGAACTATATTTTGATCAATTCGAAAATATTAAAATTTAAATTTAAAATATTTGATTCATAATAATTAAAATTAAATTAAATATTAAAAAAAGAAAATATTTCAAAAAAATATATTTGAAATATAAAAATTCAAATTTAAAATAGTTTATTCATACTAATTTCAAAATATATACTCAATCCGCGATTAAAATATTTAAAAATTCAACTATTTGGACCATGGAGCCCATTTACGTTTTTCACAATGGAGTAAGTGTTATTTTATAATGAAAGTCAAAGTTTCATCCCTCCCATATTGGCGATGTGGGACAAATACAATAGAAGTGTTCTCCTCAATATTTGGTCGATAATGTTGTGACCAATTTCTGTCAAGTATTTATTCGTCAAAAATTACTTACGAAATTTCGATCAAATTTTGTTTTAGTCGATAATTGGTAATAATATTTTGACTATTTACTGACCACTTGTATTAGTCAAAAAAATTTTGATCATATTTTGACGAGTTTAAATTTTCATAATTTTTTGGTCGAAAATTTGTCAACAAACATTGATCAATTTATTGGTAAAAAATTTGGTCAAAAATTAACATATTTTCTTGACCAATTTTCAACCAATCTTCTTTGTCACAAGTTTTCGACCATTTTTTTACAAATTTACGAATCCGTTAAAAATTGGTCAAAAAATTTCGACCAATTTTTTACTATTTTATTTCATTATATTCTCTTGACCAATTTATAACGAAAATAAACATTCGTCTAAAATTTCGAAAATGGTCAAAATAGTTTTGACCACAAAAAAAATTAGTAAAAAATTGATATATTTTATTAACTTTTGACTCATCAAATCCATGTAATCGCACTCACACTGAAGCTAACTTTTGAATTTTGTTAAGGTTAGATGATAACAAACTTTCACTTTGTCAATATAACATCAACAAAGTGAAAGTAGATAGTGATTAGAAGAGTTCAACGACAATTAGTGTTAAAATATTTTTCTTAAAACATTTAATTGATTCAACTACTATAAAATGCCGATGGGCGAGAAAACAAAAAAGATGAAGAATATTTTTTTAAAAACCGCATATGTTTTTATGATTTTTTTTTTTTGTTTATAAAATATGTTTTTATGAATGAAATGAAGTTTTCTTTCAATTGGCAGATGACAACTTTTCAACGTATTAATTTTTTTCCTCTCATTACTAAAAAAAGTAAATTTCAAACTACTCTTTATATTCTCTCATCCGCAATTTACACATTCCACTTGTTTCCTGATTATTTCCAATTCAATATGTAAATCTGCTAATTTAATAAATTTAAAGAAAACAAAAAAACTACCTAAGTTTTGTTTTTAAAATTCTTGTCGTGGAAAATCCTTTCTGTGATCAAACGTAGAGACTTAGAGAGAAGCCTTCATAAAAACATTACCATCTAAAGCTTATAATTTTTATATTTCATAAAAGAAAGTCAAAATTAGTTCCGACGTCGTCCCTAACCACGATCCGAGAGATGTAAAGACGAACGTGTGGCCAAATAAGCATCCATCATGATAAAATAGATGCATAAAAATTAAACTAGTTCTTTGTTTTATTCCTTACGCAAAAATATGATTCATTTTATATTAAAAATAAAAATAATAGTCACATAGTATATATATTCGCATTAGTTTGACGTCTCTCGTTCAAAGAGAGAAAGAAAGAGATTCATCATCACAACATGGTCATGGATCATCAACATTTCTTCTCTCTCTGGTCATGTCCGCACGTTCTCAAGATCAAGAAACATTACTTGGTCAGCCTTATCTTTATACTTAGCCTCCTCATATTCTCCAGCCTCGTCACCGTCAATCTCTCCTCCTTGGAGCCCTTTCTTCGTTTCGGATTGTTCTCTTCTTCTTCGTCGTCGCAAAGCCTAAAAAAAGATTGCGATTACTCAGAAGGAAGATGGGTTCGTCGAACATCATCATCGTCTCTTGGATTGTTATACGGAGAAGATTGTCGGTTTCTTGATTCTGGTTTTCGTTGTCGTAAGAATGGAAGAAAAGATTCTGGTTATCTCCAATGGCGATGGCAACCACATGGATGCGATCTTCCAAGGTAAAACATTGTGCCACGTCAAGATCACTCTACGTTTTCTTTTTAAAACTGATCTCCGTAAGACGAATATTTGTATATGTGTTCTTGCTTAGACCTCAAGTTATGTTGACTCCCTTGCAAAGGCTTTAGGGTTACAACGACTAAGGGTTTAGGGGGTTACAAGTTAGACACTAGATATTTATATGGTTTTGATTCAAATTCCTCTGACAAAAAAAGCTTTAGTCTCGTATTTTACACAATTCACAACAAATTTTTCTTCGTTTCTTGCAGTAGGGTCAACGATTCATAACACAAAAAAAAGACTTGAAATCTCAGTATATGTAACCAACTAAATGACTTATTTTGGTTGGCTAATGAATGATTAGATTTAATGCAAGTGATTTTCTGGAGAGGAGTCGGAACGGGAGGATAGTGTTCGTGGGAGATTCCATTGGAAGGAACCAGTGGGAATCTCTCATGTGTATGCTTTCACAAGCAATACCTAATAAATCTGAAATCTATGAACTACATGGGAACCCCATAACTAAACACAAAGGCTTTCTCGCGATGCGATTCCCTCAGCAAAACCTCACGGTTGAGTACCACAGGATCCCATTCCTTGTCGTGCTTGGCCGGCCACCAGAAAAATCGCCGGAAGAGGTCAAAACCACACTGAGAGTCGACGAACTCAACTGGGAATCGAAAAGATGGGTAGGGGCAGATGTTCTAGTCTTCAACTCAGGGCACTGGTGGAACAATGGAAAAACCATCTTAGTGTATGCGAAATCACTCAGCTTCTATTAGAATTCGACATTCTCCTCCTTATTAATTGGGTTTGTTTTTCTTTGTGCAGAGGAAGCTATTTCGAGGAGGGAAGGAAAGTGAACAAGACAATGGGAGTAATGGAAGCATTTGGGAAGGCTTTAAAGACATGGAAGTCATGGGTTTTAAAGAGACTTGATCCTGACAAGAGTTATGTCTTCTTCAGAAGCTACTCTCCAGTGCACTACAGGTCAGAAAAAAAAATAAGACAAAAATTGGTATACAATATTATGGTCTTGACTCTTGTGAGACCAAGTGTTTTAAAGTAAAGAAGAATCCTTGGTTGTTGCAGAAATGGGACATGGGATTTGGGTGGTATATGTGATGCAGAGATGGAGCCTGAGACCAATAAAACAAAGATGGAACCTGATGCAACTCACAATAGATATATCTATGAAGTAATTGAAGAATTGAGACATCAACATAGTAAGGTCAAGTTTCTGAACATTACATATCTGACGGAGTTTAGGAAAGATGGTCATCCTTCTCNGTATCNNGNGCCGNGNACTCCNNTTGATGCTCCTCANGACTGCAGCCACTGGTGCTTACCTGGCGTACCTGACACATGGAATGAGATTCTCTATGCGCAACTCTTGTCTATGAACTACAGAATAAAGTGAACTTTTGAGGTATAAACTGATATTTTTTTTTGCTTCTTAATCTATTCATGGTTCTGTTTCATCGATGCCTTCCTTAGGCTCTGTTTCATTTTGCATCTGTTTGAGCTTCTCGAGCTGTCTTAAGAGGTTCAACCTTTCGGGTCCATATGAGCTTAATTGAAGAGAAGGAAGAAAATACAGAACAGCAGAAGCAAGTCCAAAAAGAAGCATTACCAAGCCTGGCACATATCTATGAGTCGCAGCAAGCATAGCTAACAGAACATGCAACATACCCTGCGTCTTGATCTACAGAATTTTGTAGTGGCTTTTCCTTTTAGATTCTGCTTTTGTTCCTCAGAGGACTCCTGAGAGTCACTGTCACCACCTCCCTGAGTGACGTTTTAGTCTTCCAAAACATGTTTAAGATATAACCAAAGGCACTCTTCTATTCTTTATTTCTCATATTATAAAGCACCAATTGAATTACAAACCTTCAACACCTAAATTACAAACAATGAATGTTTCACCCAGTGGTTACCTAGTGACAAGTGTTCATCTCGAACTTTTTGCTCAAAACAAGAGGAAACCTCACATTTAATTTTCCTACAAACCACGCCGTTTTATTAAAGTCAACGTCGAGTTTTAAAGTTTGACTAATTTTAATCCAAAATAATTCCGTTTTATAAAAAGCCCAAACTCATAACGATAACTATAAATAGCCCTCCTGTCATCACAGATTGATGTAACCCTAA